CAAAAAGTTGCAATCAAAGATCTCTTCATCTTATTGATAAAGCCACTAATAAGCCAAAATGTCTGTCAACGTCAACCGCAGTGTGTCAGACCAGTTCTATCGCTACAAGATGCCCCGTCTGATTGCCAAGGTGATACTGGACTTCATATTTAGTTTAGTAGGAAGTCAGATTTTAATGAGAGACTATACATACCTTGTGGGATAGACAGTATTCAATGACAATTCTTATTTTCTTTAGGTTGAGGGCAAAGGAAATGGAATCAAGACCGTTATAGTCAACATGGTTGACGTTGCAAAGGCGCTTAATCGGCCTCCAACGTGTAAGTAATGTCTCTGGGAGAAGTCTTAAAATGGCATGTGATGGATGGAGCCTTTTACCTTCCTGAATCGTGCACTAATAAATTCACTAGAGGGTTAAGTGGAACCTTGGACTTTTAAAAGCTGACTTTTGCTGGTTGTCTTTAGTCTAAAACCAAAAAGAGTCATACTTATATAAATGTGGGTAGATGAAGATTTATTTTGTTAACTGTAATGAGTCAAAACTTTTCTTTTTTCAAATAGATCCCACCAAATATTTTGGTTGTGAGCTGGGAGCACAGACCCAGTTTGATGTTAAGAATGACCGTTACATTGTCAATGGATCTCATGAGGCGAATAAGCTGCAAGACATGTTGGACGGATTCATTAAAAAATTTGTTCTCTGTCCTGAGTGTGAAAATCCTGAAACAGATCTGGTGCGTGCCTTTGAGGTTTTTGCCAGTAAAAGGAAAAGCCATGTGCCTGCCTTAAGGATCAGTTCTGTGGTGTCACCAAATCTTGAGGTGCCAGAGCAGACTTAGAGATTATACGCAAATCCTCAAATTTTGAAGATAGTTCCATACTGAGCGGTGTTTTGGTTTTGTTTTTATTAGTCACTTTGGGAAAATATTTCTCGTGTACTGAGCTGCTGTTTAGATGTTTTTTCTGTGTTGCATTTTTTTGTGCTTTATTCCTCCTGATAGAATTTAATGTATATTATGGATGACAGACTTGTTTTCGCTTTCTTGGCAGCATGTCAATCCAAAGAAGCAAACAATAGGGAATTCTTGTAAAGCCTGTGGCTATCGAGGCATGCTTGACACACATCATAAACTCTGCACATTCATTCTCAAAAACCCACCTGGTAAGTCTCCCATGGTGAATTTTTCTTTTTTTAAGTAGGTTAAATTTGCTTTTAATGTTTTGATTGACATTTTCTGCTTGTACATTTAACACAATGTACCTTCTAAAATGAAGCACTTTTAATATTATACCGTAAAGTTGCAATTTTCTACTAACTTATCACAATAGTGCAATATCTGAAGAATATTGTTTTTTTTTTTCAATTAATGATGCAATACATAAATGCTAATGATAAATTACCAGGGGTGTCCAAGAAAAAAAAGCTGAGTTTTACCCCAAAGCTATTTATTTAAATTTCTTTGCAAAACAACTTTATCACCTTCAAATTACTCTCCATTAATACATTTGTCAAATCTGCGATCAGATTCATCTGTTTGGATGACTGACAGCACCTCCCTCATCTTTTTCTTTACTTTTTTTTCCCTTCTTATAAGTCATCAACTTGCTGTCCATTCATGTCCCTCTTTTTTTTCTCATGTCCCTCTTTCATGGAAAGGTCACAGGGAAGCCAGGTCAGGTGCTCAGGGCAAGAGGCATGCTTTTTTTTTTTTGGCCAAAAAACTGGTACACTGAGATGGCTGCATGAGCAGGTGCCTTGTGGCAAAACCAATTCCCCCGTCTGTCTGCCACAAATCAGGTCTCTTGTTGCACGCTATTCTATCTTTTCAGAACCTCTACATCAGCCGTTCTCAACCTCTGGGCCCTTTCACAGGGATCACCCGATAACAGTAGCAAAACGTGGTTACGAAGTAGCAACGAAAATAATTTTATGGTTCAGGAGCCCCCATAACATGAACTGTATTAAAAGTTTGCTGCATTAGAAAGGTTGAGAGCAACTGTTCTAAATAGAAAGCTTGATTAACAGTCTGACCTGGTGAAATGAACTCCAAATGCACTATGCCCCTCACATAAAAAAAATTTGCACTTTTGATTTTGTTTTAGGGGGTGGGGAGTGAGGGGCAAGATGACAGCGTTCCTCTGACTGGCTTGATGTATGCTTTCAGGGTCCTAAGAATGGCACCATGTCTTGTGACCAGTAATGGCCTTGGGGAAAAAGTCTGGGTGGCTTCAGAGCTGTTCGTTCAAGCATGGCATGTTTCCACTCAGTGCTGTTTTTCCTGGTCAGTCAGAACCCAAGGCATAAATTTCACAGTGACCCTTCTCATTCCCATTATCTTCCCTTAAAATTTGCTGAACTGAGCTCCAAGATAGTCTGGTCTTTGAGTACAAGTGCACAAATTTGTCAACATTTTCATCTGTTGGGATCGACCTCCTTTTTTGCAATGAGAAAACCACCCATACCCTTGAGTTTTTCCCATACTGTTGTCTTGTAAGCTGTATTCAATATAACAGTTTCTGTGGCATTTTTCTGATGTAGGAAATGAGGTATCACAGCTGCACGCTGTTCTTTTAAATCAGCCTTCACAAAAAGTTAGGTTCCAGCGAAACTGCTTTTATGAAAAATTCACTTTGACAAGAGAACCTTTCCAGGGACCGCCGTTGGGTGCACTAATTCAAACCAGTTGCTTGGTGCTTGCCTAATGGGGAGATGCAGATTCTATGGAAACTCCACCCAGCTGAGCTCCCCCACCCCCCCATTTTGTTGTGTGGGGGGGGGGTTGTACCCCTCAACGTATTCACATAAAACTTGCTTACATCAGAAAGATTGGTGAATCCAGAATTCCTGCAATCATTAACATAGCACATAGTGTAACCGTGTTTCAATAGTTTATCCTAACGCTTTTCCCTTTATACTCTTTAATATCATTATGTTGCCTGATGAGATAGGCCCATAAAAAGACTAGTGCCCAAGGTCAGCCCAACATTCAGCCTGCTATTTTTTGGCTCCTGAATGTAAAACTTAAACCTTGATGAAAGACCACTTGGGAGCTGGGCTGGGGTCAGCAGCTGGGAAACGGCTTAGTATTGTAGGCAGCGCCATCCTACCAACCTAGCCTAGTGAGTTTCTAAGATCTAAACTAAAAGCAACTAATTGTTTAAAACAAAAAATGGAAATTTCTTTGTTCTGGAAGCATTATATGAAGAGTGTTTATTCCTTGTACTGTGAGACTCCTTTGAATACGCTATCAAGGGTTGTCAACTGGGCTGCTGTCTTTTTAAATACCCAATTTAGAAGGGTTAGAATAAGATGGTAGTGAGAGACAGCTGGTGGAATCCTAGCAAATAAATGACAAATGTGGGGTTGCTATTATATAAACAATAAGTGACTTGCCTCATAAACCAAAGTACGCAAGCAACACTCTGTGGCAGATGATCAAAACCGTCTGTCACAATTTGCGCTTGCCACAGCAAAAAAAGTCTAACCTATTCCGGTGTTCTCTCCTCAGTGAGACTAGCCGTTATATGGACTTGAACAATCATTTGAGCTGTTGGCCTGAAACTGACTTGAGATTTGATTTGTTCTAAGTTCTTGAGCAGAGAACAAATTTCGATACCTGATCTTGTCGGGTTTTACCCAATGAGTTTTTAGAATTGTCTGAAAGGCCTACATGATGAAAGAAGAATGGGCAATGAGGACCCTTTAGAATACAGGTGGAGTTGTGATCGTAGGTGGCTAAGGGTGTGTTTGATGCAGAAGACCAGGCTTGTGAATGATCCTGACCTGCAGTGCGACTGCGTAACCTGTGGGCCTCTACTTCCTGTTTTCCTCTTAGAGAATAGTGACAGTGGTACAGGAAAGAAGGAAAAGGAAAAGAAGAACCGGAAGGGCAAAGACAAGGAGAATGGCTCCGTGTCCAGCAGTGAAAC